TTTTTGTGTGTGTGTGTGTGTGTGTGTGTGTGTGTGTGTGTGTGTGTGTGTGTGTGTGTGTGTGTGTGTGTCTGAGTGCTGTTCCTTGCGTGACTGCGGGTCTGTGTCTGACCGTGGTAAAGCTGTAGCAGCATGGATTAGTTTGCAGCATGCTGTCCCGGACCACCCGAGGGGGGCTGCAGGTTTCTGATCTCTCTGTTCTTATGTTCGGGATCTGAGTCTGTGGTTTCCACTGCCAGTTTGGAACTTTGGTATGTTTGTCTGTGTGTGTGTGTGTGTGTGTGTGTGTGTGTGTGTGTGTGTGTGTGTGTGTGTGTGTGCGTGTTAGTTATAGACTGGTAGGGTGACCGTGATCTTGCCACATGGGTTGTGTTCCTGAATCAACATCCGTGTTTGTCCTGGAACAGCATTCCTATCAACCAATCAGGTTTTAGGGAAGGAGACAGTCTCAGGACTGGGTTTGGGGCTGCTATAAACCCAGCATTTCTCTCTGAACTTAAAAGGTATTTTATTGTCAGGATCAGGAAGACCTTTCAGTGGAATGTTCTAGGGCAAGCAAAACAAATTCATCTAGAAATCTTACTTGGCAAAATAGTGGTAATCAGAACTTTAACAATTTTCAATTTTAAGTATTTTTGCATTTATTTTGAATGTTTAATAACTACAATTAAATCCAATAGTGTTAGATGTTGAATAATTTTGAATAATTTGACAATAGTTTAGATTAAATTACTGCAACTGTGTTAATAATAATAATAATAATAATGTTGGATGTTATTATAATCGGTGTTTTTGCATTTATTTTAAATGTTTTATAATCATTTGAACTTCAGCAATTAAACTTAATATTATTATATGAATACTTGAATAATTATTTTTTTTAATTATTGCAATTGTATTATTATTATTATCATCATCATCAGTATTGTTTATTGTTGTTGCTATTAATAATAATAATAAATATTGTTGTTATTATTGATATTAAGACATGTATTTTGCATTTATTATGAATGTTTTATAAACATTTTGAATGTTGAGTAAATATTGTGTAAAATAAATGTTTATTGAAGTTGAGCAATTTCTTAATCTAAATTAAATAATATATTTTAAATAATGTTATAATGTAATTTATTATTAAATGATTTCAAGTTAATAAATAACAATAATGTTGCTGTTACTAGTAAAAGGTATTATTAATGATAATGATAATTAATGTTGATGTTGTTATAACTGATGTAAGTACTTTCTGCATTTGTTTTGTTTTATAATATTTTATAAACATTATTTTGAATTTTGAGTAAATATTGTGTGAAATAAATGTTTACTGAATTTCAGAAATTTGTTGATCTAATGAAATTCAATATTATATTAGGAATAATTGATTAATGTAATTTTATGCAATGATTGCAATTGTTTTATTATCAGTAATAATAATGCTTATTGTTATCATTATTATTATTAATAGTTTGCTATTTGTACGGTGTGTTGACAGTAACGTGTGTGTGCCTGTATGTTTCAGAGCGTACCGTAGTCTCCAGCATGCACCCTGTGCCTGCTTCAGCCCTAATGTTGCTGTTACTATTAAAAGGTATTATTAATGATAATGATAATTAATGTTGATGTTGTTATAACTGATGTAAGTACTTTCTGCATTTGTTTTGTTTTATAATATTTTATAAACATTATTTTGAATTTTGAGTAAATATTGTGTGAAATAAATGTTTATTGAATTTCAGAAATTTGTTGATCTAATGAAATTCAATATTATATTAGGAATAATTGATTAATGTAATTTTATGCAATGATTGCAATTGTTTTATTATCAGTAATAATAATGCTTATTGTTATCATTATTATTATTAATAGTTTGCTATTTGTACGGTGTGTTGACAGTAACGTGTGTGTGTGCCTGTATGTTTCAGAGCGTACCGTAGTCTCCAGCATGCACCCTGTGCCTGCTTCAGCCCGGATGGAGTGGATTATTCCTCTGGTGGTGGTGTCGGCGCTCACCTTCCTCTGCCTCATTCTGCTGCTGGCCGTCCTCGTTTACTGGAGGTGAGACACTCATCCACACTGACACATTCACTGCTGCTTTCTGACTCTATTAATCTCTGACAAACTGACTGACTGCTGGAGTCACACTGACTCTCTGGATGAATCATTGATTTCCTGAGCAACTCTTTGATAGATACACGACCGATTCTCTGATTGAATCATGGGGAGTCACACAGACGGATGGCTTTACCCATGATGTGATGCTCTTAAACACTATCCGATTTATTGCGTTAGAGTTTGGCTGCCGTGTGTATGCTGGTGTAGCTCTGTGTGTGTTTGGGTCCATTTGGATCCTGTAGCAGGCCCCGAGGACTGACGTGAAAAGCAGTTAGGAGTGTGTGTGAGTGTGTGTGTGTGTGTGTGTGTGTGTGTGTGTGTGTGTGTGTGTGTGTGTGTTATGTCTCTTGTGACGGTAAGTAAGATAGAGAGAGGGCGTACTCTTCCCTTAGGGCATCTCCAAAGCCACAGAGGTGCTACGAAAACCTTCCCTGTTCCCATGGTCACACCTGAGACTGAGTGAATGTGGCTTCAAACAACATATGTGTGTATTATTAATGTATACACTACCATTCAAACGTTTGGAGGTGCTAAGAGTTTTTAATGTTTCAGAAAGAAATCTCTCAAGCTCACCAAGACTGTATTTATGTCATAAAAAAACACTAATGTTGTGAAAAAGTATTACAATTTAAAATAATTGTTTTCTTTTGTAATATATTTTAAAATGTTATTTATTCCTGTGAATTTTCAGCATCATTACTTACTTTCTACATCATTGATTATTATCAATGTTTAAAACAGTTGTGCTGCTTAATATTTATGCAGAAGCCGTAATGTACTATTCAGAAGTTTGTTTTTCTTTTTTAAATTGTTCAAAAGTGACATTTGTAAAAACATTTGGGATGGTACATAAAAAAAACATTTATTTGAAATATAGTATTATGTATATTCATCGAGGAATACTGAGAAGAAGAAAAAAATCCACAAAATATTAAGCAGTAAAAACTGTTTTCAACATTGATAATGATTAATAACTGAGCGCCAGTAATAATTGAGCAGTAAATCAGGATCATGTGACACTGAAGACTGGAGTAATGCTGCTGAAAATCCAGCTTTGCATCACAGGAATAAATTACATTTTAAAATATATTAAAATAGAAAATAGTTATTTCAAATTGTAATAATATCTCACAATATTGCTGTTTTTAATGTATTAACTAAATATATGCACATAAATGCAGCCTAAGAATAAAACATTGATATATATATACGTAGTGTATAGTGTATATATAAATGTATTTAATGGAAGTCTCTTATGCTCATCAAGGCTGCATTTATTTGATCAAAAATACAGAAAAAAAACGGTAATCTTGCAAAATGTTATTACAATATAAAATAATGGTTTATATCTTAATATCCTTTAAAATATAATTTATTTCTGTGATGCGATGCTGAATTTCCATCAGCCGTCACTCCAGTATAAAGTGTCACATCATTCTTAAGAAATCATTCTAATATGCTGATTTATTATTAGAAATATCAGTGTTGGCGACAGTTGTGCTGCCAAATATTTTTTTGGAAACTGCGATACTTTTTTCAGGATTCTTTGATGAATAAAAGGTTTTAAAAAATGTCAAGGTTTTCAAAATATAAATCTTTTCTAACAATATAAATCTTTGCTATCACTTCTTATTAATTTAACACATCCTTGCTGAATAAAAGTTTTAATTTCTTTAAAAAAAAACAAAGGAAGAAAGAATAAAAATGTACTGACCCCAAACTTTTGAACTGTAGTGTATATTGTTAGAAAAGATTACTGTTTTAAATAAATGCTCTTCTTTTTAATTTTTTATTCATCAAAATATCCTGAAAAAAGTAA